GATGATTTAATGACCTTCCTCCTCGAGTTTTACAATTACGCACTTTATGTCAAGAACGATAAGACCCTTGATGACAAGGACGCGAAAATCGAAATGTTGCGTGACAATGTCGACAAAAGGTACACTAGGAGTCTTACAACGAGAACGACGAACGCGAAGAAAAGGCAAAGAACATCAAAGACAGATCAAGATGGCTCAAATCGTAGTGCGGGTCAAGGTTCCGTTTCACATCAACGCGCCGTAATGACGGTTGCGCTCCAGAAATCGGGTTTCAAAGTTCAGGATGATGAAAACTCTGCCCGATTTGAACCGTTTATCAAGGTGTGTGTCGAATAAGTTGGACTCGGTCTTATACTAATAGAAAGGTACAGTTACCACGTCACATAGTAGAGGCGAAAAGTCCCAAAGGGAATCGAATTGTTGCAAAACTCGTCCGCAAAGACTCTGCTGAGCTCCCTCTCCTTCGGGAGCTATCGACACAAACGTCTTTGCATAATCATGTCATACCCCTGCTGGATACAGTCCCGTCAAGTTTGGGACTATTGGCGATACTTCCTTATTTGACTCCTCTGCCGCAAATTGTATCACTCCGTTTGTTTAGAGATCGGCTCGGAGGCAAGGTTGCGCACCTGAGCCGTGAGCTTATTGAGGGTGTTGCCTTTCTCCATCGGCAAAACATTGCACACATGGACATCAAGCCCGACAATCTTGTCTATGAATCTAATCGTCTTTATATTATTGACTTCGATGTTGCTGTGCGGTGCAAAGATGCGGACGAAATGGTTAAAATGTCCTGTGGAACTCGTGGGTGGAGCGCTCCAGAGATTGTCCTTGACGATGATGAGGCAGCTTGCGCGTTTAGCCCTATCAGAGCAGACTTATGGTCTTGTGGCAAAGTACTGCAGTTCATTACTGAGAAGGCTGGTCAAAACGATGAGAACATTATTCAAGTCGCAAGTTTGCTTATGGACCCTGATCCAAGACGCCGGCCGTTACTGCACGAAGCAGTGGATGAAGGACCAGACTTTTGGACGTCGGGACGGCTTCTTCAAGCTGTCAGAAGTCAGGTGTATTCTGGCAAAGCCGGGGCGCTGAAAAGGGCCCGTGTCGATACTAGTCACGTGGGCAAGGGGACGCCATCGTCAAAGGTCAGGAGAGCGAGCGTCTCGACCACTGCATCCTCACCCTCTTTTTCTCCACCTGCTTTGTCTTCATTGCCTTCGCAACTGTCTTCGGTTTCTTCATTGGATTCCTCCCTCGCTACACCTTGCATGTCGGATTCTGATAACAAAGCCGATGGCTTGTCTGTGCTTCGCGCTAAAGGGGATGTATCTGGCAAAAGAGGAGAATTCCAAGCAATTGACGTTTAAGCTTTAGAATTGATAGACTGTTTTGTACACTTCTTTGTACTAGAATCAAATATAATACGATGTCTGGGAGTCATGCAGTGCAATGGCTTGTTGCTGTCAAGAGGTAAAGCAATTCTTTTAGGAACAAGATTGAATATAATCATGAGAAGAGAAAGGCTGTCCTAACAACTGCTATTTATTTCAATAAACACAGTACTTAGCACTCACCCTTCCCATGCACAATTACTGCAGGAGCAGACATGCATTACTGTTACATTGTATTGAAACAATCAGCATCATGCTACAAACTGTACATCACATACAGACAATCACAGCAATCAATTCTGAACATCTGTGTAGTGTTACAGTTCTCCACTCTTGTACCTTCAGTTCTGAGGGTTCTGCACCCTTCTGTACTAGAACTCAGGACTTCTGTCCCTCAGGGGCACTGTCCATGGACTATATGTGTGCTGACTCTTACTACTACCCTTCCTTACTTCATCATTCCATTCCTTTGACCACCCCTTCATTCTTTGTTCATTCTATGGTCTCTTACCCTTTGACCATCCCTTCATTCTTTGTACCTTTATCTTTGACCTTCCCTTTCTTTCATTCTTTGTGGCTTATCATTCTTAGTGGCTCATGCTCCCTGAGTGCTTTTGTGTAGTTTAGTATATATAGGCATACAAGATCAGACTGGTCCTGTAGTCTTGATCTTGTCTACTCTAGGTGGTCCTGTACTCTTAGGCTCACTCTATAT